TTAGAGTTACGTCCCTTAAGTGGATTCGTAACCAAATTGAAGAAGTGAATTAAATGGCCACTTTCTAGTCTGGGAATATCAGCAAACTATTATGAAAGTTAAACACTTTTATTCATTGTTTCATTTTTTTTTTTATCGTATCTGAGACATTAAATTCATACATCTGATCATTTTGATAAATATTGCATATCACTAAATCTATAGGTTATCAAATCACAATAAAAAGTATACATTGATAAGAAACAGGGAATAAACAGGAAGCTTATATAAACATTAATTTCGTTTCAGTTGACTTTATTTTCACTTAAAGGGACCACTAGTTTGAACAACTGCTTGAAAATAAAAGTATTTCGATATCTCTTTATGAAATTATTGCAAAATCACCAGCTCCAATGTGCTTTGTTATCAATATTTGATAATTATCTGATATGATTTTACACGTGTGTATGTGTTATTTATTTATCTACATAAATTAGCGTGCTTAAGATTTGAATACATCTTTAATACCAAGGAATAAGAATTATTGTTTATTTTGGTACGAGTTCGTTTTGGGTACAATTCGGGGTGGAGACGAAATTACGTATTAGGTACCAATATTCACCTACAGCCGTTTTCGCTTTGACTCTATTATTCCCACTTATTTTTTGTATATATGAAACTTTATTCTTTTCCCATATATCTCATAATAACAGAAACTGGTTTTACAATTCTGTCATATCGTAACATTTCAGTGTTATGTAATCAAATCGATTACAACATTAACTCCCTTATTCTATATTTAGATACAAGGGAAGCTACTCTGAAATTAAAGTTTACCTCAAGTTGGCGTCACATACGGCTTGAACATTTTATAGCGTGGAAGCCTTTCCGACAAATGTAGGCCAATTCTTCGTCAGCAGGTGGTCGTTTAATGGGAATAAGTGTACCATCAATTGCCCCAATAACGCGGGGAATTCAGCTATTTTGTAGAAATCTTGCATTCTAACTTTATTTGCGTCAGGATTGAACTTGATGACCAAAACGATGTTTATGGCACGGGATTGTCCGATGGACGGCGCGAGACACAGAGGACTCGTGAACGCCATGTAGATCACCTATTTCCATTAAAAACCTCCTTTACTCAAGTAACGAAGTGTAGACCAGCAACTGAGTTTCAGGAAATGGCATGTGAACGCTTGGTTCCATGTTCGATGTGTGCCGAACTTACTCCAAAAGTGAGAATATGGCATGCCGAGGCAACCTATACCTTGAAATAGAGTTAACCTTCCCGTCAATAACTCCAAATGTGATGTTCTATCTCTAAAATACATGTACGACGCCATTTTTACCCATCGATTGTAGGCATTTACAATGGGTAGTGGGCTATTAGCGGGTTTCAATTTTAACTTACAACTATTGTAGGCTTACGATCGCTTTGTGCAAGAGGCGGGTGACCCTACAATTACCTTACAATCAGAGTTACGACTATTGTAGAGATACAATCGTTTTGTGCAAAGTGGGCCCAGGTTGAAGGAATTAAACATAGGCATGGTATACACAATTCCCGCTTGACTACATGCACCTTATTTGCTTAGGCATAATAAAGAAAATCATCAGTATCTGGACTAGAGGACCATTACATGTTCGCATCGGAAGTGCAACTACAAACTTGTTGTCCAATTCTATCTTTGGCCCTTGGCTCATTTTTGCCTCGAGAATTTGCACGGAAGGAAAAGAAACTTGAAGAAATTGAAAGATGGAAGGCTACAGAATTAAGAACATTTCTTTTATATACCGGACCTGTAGCCCTAAGAGGAAATTGTCGAACATTATGTACAAAACTTCATGATGCTTTCAGTTGGTGTATCTTTTGTTATGTAACAGCAATGTATATTCTCAGTGTGCTGATTATGTCCAGGAAGTCTTTGTTTCTTTTTTGTCAAACATTTTGGAGAGTTGTATGGTCAAAATGTTATCGTACAATGTCCATGCATTGATACACACTTACCCGGATGCTCCAGGCGATTTGCTCCAGGCGATTTGGACCTCTACAGAATTAATCAGAAAACCAAAATTTCCTCTTGAACAAGTTATTCGACGGTTAACTGAAAAAATGCACTCCAGTCGTCCAAGAAAAAGGGGAATATATTGTAAAAGAAACATTCCAGGGGACCTCTTTTCCAGATATTTCTGTTTCCTGCACCCAGTATGAACAAATTCAGATGCCAAATTTTCTGTTGTCAACAAAAGCACCAGACAATTCAGTTATTATTGAAAATGGAAACATACATAATCAAGAATGTCATATGTCAAGATAATTTGAGGCTCTGTGTTTGCCAAAATCATCGGCAATGTTTGTTTACTTATCCCTTTGATTCACTTAAGGTGAATATATCTGTGGTTAGTGGTCTTGCCGAAAAATTGTATGTTTTAGACAACAAAGAATATAGCTGCAAAGGAGCTGTTCACTTACCATTCAATGAAAATTATATTGTCCATTCCAATGATTTAGAGCTTCAACCATATCCTTACCAACCATACATTTTGTATGGAAAATATTTGAATTTGGTGTTATTATTCAGGTAATACCTGCTATTTGGAATACATATTAATAGAAGCAATTCATTGTATCCAGTTTGACATTCATGTGGTCACTGTTCATTGTGATTAATTAATGCATTCAACACGTATTTAGCGTATGTTTCATAGAATGTAATAATTATTACATCAACCTGTGAGTTATCTTAGTACATGTAATTAACATATTTGTAATGTTAAACTCACGGTGGATTAGTTGCAGCTCTAATTGTAAGTGATAATTAGGGTGACAACTAAAATCAACATGGTTATTATGATGTGCCGTTTTCATTTCCCGATAAACGTCAACCGCCATTTTATAACGTAGGAAAAAGGGACGTAACACTCACTTAGTTTTCGGAAATAGATGATCACTACAAAAATTATGTTTTGTTAAATATTAAGTTAAGCAAACACCAACATGATAGTATTTTAAATACTATTGTCATTACAAGGTTGCAGACAGAATTTACTTATACAATTAAGATGAACCCATTAGCACCCAACGTATCTTTTACAGAACTATCACAGATACACAAATGGGACCACTAGATTTGTTTCCCTTTGAACATGACTGCTCTAAATTCATACAGGAAAATCAATGAAATATGATTATTGTTATCATAGAATGTTAAAGAATATGTTTAGAGATTTTTTTCCTGTTCCATTTTAAAAAGTCAATTTGATAAAATTGATCATTTTATTAATGATTTGAAAAGCATTGCATGGCCTAATCTATTCTAACACAAATATATTTCCTCACAAATTCTGATATATGTATGAGGAAAATATCAATCTTTTACAGATCTGTGATGATGTATGCCATAGTATTGTTTGAGCAAACAGATGAAGTTGATTACACAATGCCATTTAGAAAGTGGTCAAATGCAACATGTGTTATATTTGGGATTACACTTTCTTAGTAAAGTACAAATTCTAGTACTTTTTTTTGAATTGAGTCCCATCCGGGATTCGAACTCACACCCTCAGAGTCAGGCACCCAATCGCCAGCACACAAAGTCAGCCGCCTAACCCACTCAGCTACCGCGACTTCCACAAAAATGGAAGTCGGACAACTGGTAGTCTAGACTGCGGGCTTTGTGTACCCCTCTGATAAGTGTTGATTGGCACAGCTCCCACGGCCAGAAAGCTATGATTACACAATGCCATTTTAGAAAGTGGTCAAATGCAACATGTGTTATATTTGGGATTACACTTTCTTAGTAAAGTACAAATTCTAGTACTTTTTTTTGAATTGAGTCCCATCCGGGATTCGAACTCACACCCTCAGAGTCAGGCACCCAATCGCCAGCACACAAAGTCAGCCGCCTAACCCACTCAGCTACACATGTTGCATTTGACCACTTTCTAAATGGCATTGTGTAATCATAGCTTTCGGCCGTGGGAGCCGTGCCAATCAACACTTATCAGAGGGGGTACACAAAGCCCGCAGTCTAGACTACCAGTTGTCCGACTTCCATTTTTGTGGAAGTCGCGGTAGCTGTGGCGGCTGACTTTGTCTGCGATGGTGCCTGACTCTGAGGGTGTGAGTTCGAACCCGGATGGGACTATACAGAATTTGTACTTTACTGTAAGAAAGTGTAATCCCAAATATAAATACATGCCCGCCACTCTAAATGGCATTGTCTAGCCGTGCCAATCAACACTATCAGAGGGGTACACAAAGCCCGCAGTCTAGACTACCAGTTGTCCGACTTCCATTTTTGTGGAAGTCGCGGTAGCTGAGTGGGTTAGGCGGCTGACTTTGTGTGCTGGCGATTGGGTGCCTGACTCTGAGGGTGTGAGTTCGAATCCCGGATGGGACTCAATTCAAAAAAAAGTACTAGAATTTGTACTTTACTAAGAAAGTGTAATCCCAAATATAACACATGTTGCAGATGAAGTTGAGGTAGTCCCTATATCCTGGATTGAGGGAAAGAAGTGTTTCTGGCCCAACAACATAAAGGGTTCGCATCTGACAAAGGCAATTGAACGGGGTATTAACCCAGAACAAGACTGGGATATACATCCAATCAGTAGTGTTCTAAAAGAATTTGGTGAGTTTTTGATAATTCTGCTTGTTTTTGTGTTGAACAATAGTGTTAATAGCTTGATGTTTGTTCATTTATATGATTCTTTTTTTAGTTAAATGTAAAACATATATGTCTTCTCCTAGTTATGATGCTCTGAATCATTTTAGAGGACTACAAAAAGGCTCGACTTAAATGTAAGAGGGTGGAGGAGAGACTAACCACCGACCTTGATACAACTGATGTTGAGTCAAGAGCAAGGAAGAGGTAAACCAAGTATTTACATTTATATTTAGCATAACTGATGACTTTTGGCTTTCACCTTTTCATAATGCATGTTAAACCCTCATTAATACTCAGTACTAATTACTGATAGATCTTTTTTTTATATTGTTAACTTTAAACACTAATCAGAACCTGTCCACATGTAGGCGCCGTCCTGGGAAATATTGCAATGAAGATGAACAAGGACATGAGAAAGGTGAAGGTGACTTGTCCAGGAACAACACACAAGTGCAAGTCCGTGAAAGGTTTGTCATAAGATTAAAAAATAAATAAATTGATGAACTTCTTATAAATACTGTAAAGTACAATAACAGTGAGTCAAAATTACAAATGAACAAGTGTCTCGGTCATTGATATAAACTTACATTAATCTAGTTACCAACATATGTAATTATAACAATTGCAGCCACTGCAGTCTCTCCATGTAATCTCTCACATGTGTATGGAGAATAAGTAACTTTTGTTGATAACTGGTTACTGCTGTTTTGTTTAACAACTGAAAATATTGTAGTGAAGAAAACGGCCGAGAAAGTTTGAAGAAGAAACAACATCCTCTGCCATGTCTTCCACGTCTGCCGGAATTTTCTTTTGCGAATGATGCAAGGTTCTTATTTCCTGTTTGAAAATATCAGTGCATAAACATGGGCAATATAAAATATAGCCTATATATAAAACAACTGCATTTAAAAATTTGTAAATAAAATAAAGCATAAAAGGCAGTAAATATTTATAATGTACATTAACTTACAACATTTGCTATTTCAAGACAATGCATGATATGATAGGTAACTATTCTTGGCTCAGAGTTTTTAATCTCAATTGGTATTGTTACACTGCAAGTTAGAGCTTTGAATATATTTCCATTTCCAGTTCTGATACCGACTGCGAGAGTCATGCAAGGGTCCCAAGTAACACGCAGCCTGATGAACCAACAAGTTCTTCCACAGCGACGCATTTTCCCTCCTTTCAAACTCCAATCAAGAGGTCTATCACTTCAAAGTTGGTGTTACTTTATGTATCATACCTGTAGTTGCAAATTATTATATAGCAGTTGTTGATACAAGTAACCATACCCAATTCCATTTCGGTTTCCATTTAAAAAATATTGGTGTGATCCGATAAACAATTCTGGACAGATATGTTGGCATTCACTTTATATTGACATAAGATTTGGTAAAATCTTATTAACATCTTAATATACCCATCAAGCATCCAAAATGATGTACCTTTCTACTTAAACATTTTCAGTTACACTAATCCAAGAGTGCCGAACAAAACAACAATTCGGTAAGACTTTTTCTTATACCTCTTCCTGCATGAATGTATGTATAGTCTATAAGTAAACTAAAATAGCTTCCCTTGCATGGGTAAAGGGGTAATGTCATTGCAATTTTAATACAATGGGGACACTGATAAATTTGTACTTGCCTGTTGTAATTTTTACTGGCCCCGGACTCGCAGACTAGTGTGAAGTTGTAACCCGCACTGGATAACATTCTTTACTCAAATGGACTGCAATTACTGCAATACCTGCATGAAGCCTGCCTGTACAGGGCTCGATTTAGTGCTTTGTTACTTGCACTGGTGCAAGCCAATATTACAAAAAGTGCAACCTAGTTATTAGTCTAACTTGCACCAGGCGCAAGTCAATTTTTGAGTGGGTAAACTTCTGAATAAAACATCTAAATAATGCAATAGCATATTTCTGATATTACATATTGCAATACAAACATTGCAACTGGAATTTGACTGGTGCAACTAGTTTTCTATCTTAGGTTGCACCTGGTGCAAGTAGGTTAAAATCTCTTAAATCGAGCCCTGCTGTATAAACTTGTGAAGGAAATTTAAAAAGGATCCTAAGTATAGATCAGTATTGGAAAACAGGGTGTGCCTGTCATGTCTTAGTAGTGAACTCTTTCAATTACAGACCTAGTCCAAGTATGATGAGGGATGCTGGAAATGTAACACTTCCAATTGACCCCCTTGAAAGGTAATAGTGAAATAGTCATAGATCAAACATATAAATTTCCGGAAACTGTAATTTCCTTAAGAGTATTATTATAAAACATGTTGTTTTGTACTTGTTTTTGATGAGTGAATTATGTATTTGCAGAGATCGCATACTATTCTCAACCTTGCTAACAATCAAGGCCATGGTAAGAAACAATAGCATTGCCATCCAAAGACTGTCGGAGCAGGCCGACAAGAACCGAAGTCAAGGGGAGGTGGAAGAATCAATCGACAACTTTGGCTTCCCCTTCCAAACCATGGATCAGGTCCGACAGGTTGAAAACATTTTGGAGGACAAAACAAAGTTCAAACTTCTGGTGAGGAAAAAGCACATTTTCAAAGAACACAAATGACGACCTGGCCTTTTTCAAGGTGGTATATGAGCTTAAATGACGGCCTGGCATTCTTCAGAGTGGTGTATGAGGTTAAATGACGGCCTGGCATTCTTCAAGGTGGTGTATGAGGTTAAATGACGGCCTGGCATTCTTCAAGGTAGTGCATGGGTTTATATGACGACCTGGCATTCTTCAAGGTGGTGAGTGAGGTTTAATGGCGGCCTGCATAAATTCAGGGTGGTGTATGAGGTTAAATGACGAGCTGGCTTTTATCATCATAGTGTATGAGGTTAAATTACAGCCTGGCATTCTTCAGGGTGGCATATGAGTTTAAATGACGGCCTGGAATTCTTCAGGGAAGTGTATGAGGTTAAATGACGACCTGGTATTCTTCAGGGTGGTGTATGAGGATAAACGACGTCCTGGCATTCTTCAGGGTAGTGTATGAGGTTAAATGACGGCCTGGCATTCTTCAGGGTAGTGTATGAAGTTAAATGACGGTCTGGCATTCTTCAGGGTAGTGTATGAAGTTAAATGACGGTCTTGCTTTATTCAAGGTTGTGTATGAGTTTATATAACGGCCTGGCATTCTTTAAGGTTCTGTAGGAGGTTAAATGACGACCTGGCATTCTTCAAGGTTGTGTATGAGTCTATGTGAAGGCCCTGCATTCTTCAAGGTAGTGTATGAGTTTACATGACGACCTGGCATTCTTCGATGTGGTGTATGAGATTAAATGAAGGCCTGGCATTCTTCAAAGTGGTATATCAGCTTAAATGACGGCCAGGCATTCTTCAGGGTGGTGTATGAGGTTAAATGAGAACCTGGAATTCTTAAAAGTTGTCTCTGAGGTTATATGACGGACTGGCATTCTTCAGGGTGGTGTATGAGGTTAAATGACGGCCTGGCATTCTTGAAGGTAGTGCATGGGTTTATATGACGACCTGGCATTCTTCAAGGTGGTGTATGAGGTTTAATGGCGGCCTGCATAAATTCAGGGTGGTGTATGAGGTTAAATGACGAGCTGGCATTCTTCAGGGTGGCGTAAGAGGTTAAATGACGTCCTGGCATACTTCAGGGTAGTATATGAGTTTAAATGACGGCCTGGAATTCTTCAGGGAAGTGTATGAGGTTAAATGACGACCTGGCATTCTGCAGGGTGGTGTGTAGGGTTAAACGAAGGCCTGGCATTCTTCAGTGTGGTGGATGAGGATAAATGACAGCAACTCGTTCTAACAAATTGTGTACGAGGCTAAATGACGGCCTGGAATTCTTAAGGTGGTGCATGAGGTTAAATGACGACCTGACATTCTTTCAGGTGGTATATGAGGTTAAATGACGGCCTGGCATTCTTCAGGGTAGTGTATGAAGTTAAATGACGGCCTGGCATTCTTCAGGGTAATGTATGAAGTTAAATAGCGGCCTGGCATTCTTCAAGGTGGTGTATGAAGTTAAATGACAACCTGGCATTCTTCAGGGTTGTGTATAAGGTTAAACGACTCCCTGGCATTCTTCAGGGTGGTGTATGAGGCTAAATGACAGCAACTCGTTCTAACAAATTGTGTATGAGGTTTAACGACCCCCTGGCATTCTTCAAGGTAGTGTATGAGGTTAAATGACGGCCTGGCATTCTTTTAGATGATGTATGAAGTTAAATGACTGTCTGGCTTTATTCAAGGTTGTGTATGACTTATATAACGGCCTGGCATTCTTCAAGGTTTTGTATAGGTCTATGTGAAGGCCCTGTATTCTTCAAGGTAGTGTATGAGTTTACATGACGACCTGGCATTCTTCAATGTGGTGTATGAGATTAAATGAAGTCCTGGCATTCTTCAAAGTGGTATATCAGCTTAAATGACGGCCAGGCATTCTTCAGGGTGGTGTATGAGGTTAAATGAGAGCCTGGCATTCTTAAAAGTTGTCTCTGAGGTTATATGACGGACTGGCATTCTTCAGGGTGGTGTATGAGGTTAAATGGCGGTCTTGCATTCTTAAAAGTTGTGTATGACATTGTATGACGGCCTGGCATTCTTCAAGATGGTGTATGAAGTTAAATGACAGCCTGGCATTATTGAAGGTGGTGTATGAGGTGACATGACAGCCTGGCATTCTTCAAAGTGGTATATGAGCCTGAATGACGGCCTTGCATTCTTCAGGGTGGTGTATGAGGTTCAATGACGGCCTGGCATTCTGCAGGGTAGTGCATGGGTTTATATGACGGCCTGGCATTCTTAAAGGTGGTGTGTGAGGGTTAATGGCGGCCTGCATAAATTCAGGGTGGTGTATGAGGTTAAATGACGAGCTGGCTTTTATCATCATAGTGTATGACGTTAAATTACAGCCTGGCATTCTTCAGGGTGGCGTATGAGGTTAAATGACGTCCTGGCATTCTTCAGGGTAGTATATGAGTTTAAATGACGGCCTGGAATTCTTCAGGGAAGTGTATGAGTTTAAATGACGACCTGGCATTCTTCAGGGTGGTGTATAGGGTTAAACGACGGCCTGGCATTCTTCAGTGTGGTGTATGAGGATAAATGACATCAACTCGTTCTAACAAATTGTGTATGAGGTTTAACGACCCCCTGGCATTCTTCAAGGTGGTGTGTGAGGTTAAATGAAGGCCTGGCATTCTTCAGGGTAGTGTATGAGGTTAAATGACGGCCTGGCAATCTTTTAGATGATGTATGAAGTTAAATGACTGTCTGGCTTTATTCAAGGTTGTGTATGACTTATATAACGGCCTGGCATTCTTCAAGGTTTTGTATAGGTCTATGTGAAGGCCCTGTATTCTTCAAGGTAGTGTATGAGTTTACATGACGACCTGGCATTCTTCAATGTGGTGTATGAGATTAAATGAAGTCCTGGCATTCTTCAAAGTGGTATATCAGCTTAAATGACGGCCAGGCATTCTTCAGGGTGGTGTATGAGGTTAAATGAGAGCCTGGCATTCTTAAAAGTTGTCTCTGAGGTTATATGACTGACTGGCATTCTTCAGGGTGGTGTATGAGGTTAAATGGCGGTCTTGCATTCTTAAAAGTTGTGTATGACATTGTATGACGGCCTGGCATTCTTCAAGATGGTGTATGAAGTTAAATGACAGCCTGGCATTATTGAAGGTGGTGTATGAGGTGACATGACAGCCTGGCATTCTTCAAAGTGGTATATGAGCCTGAATGACGGCCTTGCATTCTTCAGGGTGGTGTATGAGGTTCAATGACGGCCTGGCATTCTGCAGGGTAGTGCATGGGTTTATATGACGGCCTGGCATTCTTAAAGGTGGTGTGTGAGGGTTAATGGCGGCCTGCATAAATTCAGGGTGGTGTATGAGGTTAAATGACGAGCTGGCTTTTATCATCATAGTGTATGACGTTAAATTACAGCCTGGCATTCTTCAGGGTGGCGTATGAGGTTAAATGACGTCCTGGCATTCTTCAGGGTAGTATATGAGTTTAAATGACGGCCTGGAATTCTTCAGGGAAGTGTATGAGTTTAAATGACGACCTGGCATTCTTCAGGGTGGTGTATAGGGTTAAACGACGGCCTGGCATTCTTCAGTGTGGTGTATGAGGATAAATGACATCAACTCGTTCTAACAAATTGTGTATGAGGTTTAACGACCCCCTGGCATTCTTCAAGGTGGTGTGTGAGGTTAAATGAAGGCCTGGCATTCTTCAGGGTAGTGTATGAGGTTAAATGACGGCCTGGCAATCTTTTAGATGATGTATGAAGTTAAATGACTGTCTGGCTTTATTCAAGGTTGTGTATGAGTTTATATAACGGCCTGGCATTCTTCAAGGTTGTGTATAGGTCTATGTGAAGGCCCTGTATTCTTCAAGGTAGTGTATGAGTTTACATGACGACCTGGCATTCTTCAATGTGGTGTATGAGATTAAATGAAGTCCTGGCATTCTTCAAAGTGGTATATCAGCTTAAATGACGGCCAGGCATTCTTCAGGGTGGTGTATGAGGTTAAATGAGAGCCTGGCATTCTTAAAAGTTGTCTATGAGGTTATATGACTGACTGGCATTCTTCAGGGTGGTGTATGAGGTTAAATGGCGGTCTTGCATTCTTAAAAGTTGTGTATGACATTGTATGACGGCCTGGCATTCTTCAAGATGGTGTATGAAGTTAAATGACAGCCTGGCATTATTGAAGGTGGTGTATGAGGTGACATGACAGCCTGGCATTCTTCAAAGTGGTATATGAGCTTGAATGACGGCCTTGCATTCTTCAGGGTGGTGTATGAGGTTCAATGACGGCCTGGCATTTTGCAGCAGGGTAGTGCATGGGTTTATATGACGGCCTGGCATTCTTAAAGGTGGTGTGTGAGGGTTAATGGCGGCCTGCATAAATTCAGGGTGGTGTATGAGGTTAAATGACGAGCTGGCTTTTATCATCATAGTGTATGACGTTAAATTACAGCCTGGCATTCTTCAGGGTGGCGTATGAGGTTAAATGACGTCCTGGCATTCTTCAGGGTAGTATATGAGTTTAAATGACGGCCTGGAATTCTTCAGGTAAGTGTATGAGTTTAAATGACGACCTGGCATTCTTCAGGGTGGTGTATAGGGTTAAACGACGGCCTGGCATTCTTCAGTGTGGTGTATGAGGATAAATGACATCAACTCGTTCTAACAAATTGTGTATGAGGTTAAATGACGGCCTGGCATTCTTCAGGGTGGTGTGTGATGTTAAATGACGGCCTGGCATTCTTCAGGGTAGTGTACGAGGCTAAATGACGGCCTGGCATTCTTTTAGGTAGTGTAGGAGGTTAAATGAGGACCTGGCATTCTTTAAGGTTGTCTATGAGTTTAAATGACGACCTGGCATTCTTCAATGTGGTGTATGAGATTAAATGAAGGCCTGGCATTCTTAAAAGTTGTGTATGAGAATGTATGACGGCCTGTCATTCTTCAAGTTAGTGTATGAGGTTAAATGACGTCCTGGCATTCTTTTAGATGGTGTATGAGGTTAAATGACGGCCTGGCATTTTTCAGGGTAGTGTATGAGGTTAAATGA